CCGGCTGGGCCAGGGCGGTCCGACCGTCGAAATAGCGCCCCCGCCACTCCATTTGGGGAGGTGTTCCAGTCAAAATGTCACAGGATCCCCAGATCCATGTCCAGTAGTTCGGTGTCCAGCAGGTCCGCGATGCCCTCGCCGGTGGCTCCGGCCTCCCGGGCTTCCTGCTCGATGGCCGCCAGGTCGAGGGAGCCGTGGAGAGAGACCCTCTCGAACATGAACCTCACCGTGCGCACCAGCACCCAGGGTTGGGCAAAGCCCAGAGTGACCACCAACAGGATTCCGTTGACCAACTCCAGCCACAACAGACTTCCGCCTGTCATTGCACAACCAAAGTGCGCCCCTCCGAACCGGGTATGGCTCCAGTGGTAGCGGTGTTGCCGGGCCGCATACCAGAACCAGGACAGGCCCAGGGTCGGGAGGCCGAGAAAAAAGGCGGCCGCATAGGGTCCCAGCAGCTCTTTGCCGTTGCCGTCGAAGCTGAAGGGAACGTTTCCGAAGTAGGTTCGATCCAACAGGAATTTTCGTATCTTGCAGGCGAAAACGGGACTGTAGAATCCCAGGGTGATTATGGTGAGCAGCAGGCCGGGCGCATAGAGTTTCATGAATTCCCTGGTGTGTCCACGGAAGGAGAATCGAATATTGCGCCAGGAGGAACGGCTCAATCGGTAGCGCCAGGCGCCGGCAATGGCTATGGGGACCAATCCGAACAGCAGGGGCGGCAGAAGGAACAGCAAATACAAGACCTGACCCGACACCGATCGTTCACCCAGAAGATACAGGAAGGCGAAGCTGACCCCATAGATCGCTCCCAGGATCGCCATTCCCTTGAGGCACCCGATCAGGAGTTCCTTCCCGGTACCGTGGTAGGCAAAGCGGTCGCCTTCGAATTCGGATTGGCTGAAGACGTAGTTTCGAACCTTGACCTTGCCCCAGAAATAGTAGATCCCCAGGGTCAATCCGGTGAGAAGCATGTTGACAATGTGGATGCCGAACAGGCTTCCTCCCGTTCCATGAAAGCGAAGCTTCCTTACCTGGTCGGGCTGTGAGTCCGTTTCGGCAGGGGGAGCGGTGACGCCCTGGCCTCCACCGGGTGGGTTCTGTTCCATGGGGTTCCTCTATTGCAGTCAATTGGCGAAGCAACTGGCCGGAAACGAAGAGTATACAGCGAAAAGGGTCCGTAGTTGTTAAGCCTGCATATCTCACCGGGTCGCTGGATACATGATGAAAAGGAGTTTTTCTCAAGTACCTTGATTGGCCCTATTTAAAGGGCTCGTGGGTACAGACTGCGCTGGGCGCGCTCTGGCTTGTTTGCGATCGAACACCAGGGATGATTGCTGCCGCCGCCTACGCGGCTCGGGGGGTGGAGTTGCCGTTTCCATGGGCTCACGCCCACGGCTAAGCGCGGACGCCGCATTCGCGGCTTACTGGAACCCCCGGGCTGGCACCCGGGGGATTGTCATTTCAAATTCCTGTCCCCCGGCAGTGTTGTGATTTTGGGGAGAGCGGCGAAACCGCGGTTGGCCTGGTCCCCCCGACGAAACGTTTCCTGCAGGCTTCCTTATAGAGCGGCGCAGCTGCGGCAGCACTTCGCCTTCCGGGAGAGCCTGGGGGAACCCGGAGGGGGCCGCGTTCGGCCACGAAGGCAGCGTCCTCTTGGGGGCGGAGGCGTGAGCCCGGGGTCCTGTGAACCCCGCGCCGCCACAGCCGCGTAGGCGGCGGATTAGTGGCGCCGTCCCGGAACGCACTGCCTCTCTAATAATGATGCTTGTCTGAAACAACAGAAAAAAGACAAAAGAAAAAGAGTTATCCACGAAGGGCCACTAAGAACGACGAAGGGCCACTAAGGCGTTGAGGTTAACCGCGACGGGAAACCAAGGTCACGACAGGATAGTCGATTTCCGATTGTTTCACTCTCGGATGATCTGCCCGGCAGGGCGGGGGCCCCACTTATCTGAAACAAACCTGTTTCACTCTCGAATGATCCGCCCCGTCGTGGGGGGCGGGGGCCCGACTTATCTGAAACGCCCCTGTTTCACTCCGTATGAACCGCCCCGTCGTATGGGGCGGGGGCCCGGCCAAACACAACCCTCACTCCCAGCGCTCTTCTCAAGAGTGCACGAGCAAAGCGAAGGCCGGGGTGGGTTGTTCCAGTCCCGCGAAGACCATCGTTGCTGAGAACAATCCGCCGCGGCTCCGCGTCCCGGCGGGGTCGGACGAATCGGCATTGACACAACCGGAGGCGGTGATAGTCTGTTAACCGATGAGAGACAACGAACTGGGGAAGGCATGTCGAGAGGATACGATGCGCAAGGGATTTTCTTTAATCGAGTTGCTGATTGTGGTGGCAATTATCCTGATCATTGCCGCCATAGCGGTCCCGAACCTGCTCCGGGCGAGACGGGCGGCCAACGAAGCCTCCGCCACCGCTTCCATGAGGACGATCGGCACCGGCCAACTCATGTACCGCTCCACCCACGGCAACTATACCGATCTGGCCGGCCTGGCCGCGGACGGGGTGATTCCCGCCGATCTGGGATCGGGGACCAAGAGCGGTTATAATTTCGCCACCGAACCGGGGGACAACCCGGCTCAGCAGTTTATTGCAACCGGGGTTCCCGAGATCCCCGACGGGGCTACCGCCACCGGAACCAGGACCTTCTTTACCGACGAGACCCAGGTGATCCGGTTTGCCATCGGGTCCGAGGCCAACGCCACCAACACACCGGTCGGCAATTAGCGGACCGTGGCCGGCCCCCCTCCGCATCAGCCTTCGCCTGGCGGCTCGGCTTCTGCGACTCCCCCTCAAGGGGGGAGTGATGGGCAGGTCTGTAAGCCGAATTCTGTTCCCTCGCAGAGGGCAACGGTCATTCCTCTAGCCTGGGAGTTGCCTCCCGGATCCAGCATTCTACCCGGATGTCAAGCGGCGCGGGTCACGCCTCCATCCCTATTTGAACTTGCTCCATGTGGGGTTTGCCAGGCATGCTCGTTACCGAGCACCCGGTGCGCTCTTACCGCACCATTTCACCCTTACCCCTTGCGGGGCGGTATATTTTCTGTTGCACTTTCCGTACCCATGGAGAATGTCCATGAGCCCCCCGCGTTACGGGGCACACTGCCCTGTGGAGTTCGGACTTTCCTCCCGCCCAATGCACAAGCAATGGGCCGGCGACCGTTCGACCCGCCCGATGGCATTCTAGGTCCGGCCCAAGAAAGGCGTCAAGGCGAAAGCAGGATCAACCAGGCGGCGCCTTGGGCTGCGGCGGGAGAGGTAGTCCGGCCCCATCCGAACCTCCAGGGTCGTTCCAGCCCAGCGGCAGCACGGTTTGCCGCCACAACCCGGGCTCCAGCAAACGGCCCTCCCGACGGGGGCTTTCTCCCGAGCTCGTACTTGTCGCACAACTGGCGGATGAGGTCAGACACCCGCCGGCGATAGCGTTCCAGTCTCGCCCGAGGGGGCCGGTACAGACCCCGGTAGACCGGCACCAGCGCCGGAAACCGCTCCCGCAGAAAGGGCGCCCAGACTTTCTCGATGGAGGTGGTGACAAACAGAACCCTGGAAGCCAGATAGCTCGCACCCTGGCTCTTGACGCCGCGCACCAGCGCCTCCAGATCGGCGGGGCCGTCAGTGATCCAGGGAAGCACCGGCATGACCAGCACCCCCACACTCAGACCCGCCTGGGACAGCGCCTTCAGGGCGACCAGCCTCCGCCGGGAGTGGATGCCCGCGGTTCCAAGGCTCTGGCCAATTCGGAGGACAGGGTGGTCAGAGTGATGTTGAGGTGGACCTCATTGCGGGAGGCGATCTCCCTCCACAACTCCAGGTCCCGCAGGATCAGGTCCGACTTGGTGGTCAGTGAAATCCGGAGTCCGCGCCATTCGGCCAACCTCCGCAGAATTGCCCGCGTCAGCCTGAATCGCCTCTCCGCCGGCTGATAGGGGTCGGTGGCGGTGCCGATGGCAATGGGCCGGTCCCGCAGCCTGGCCGACAGCAGGTCCCTCTCCAGGACGGCATCCCCATTCCGCTTGGCATAGATCTCGGACTCGAACTGGCCGGCGTCCTCCCGGCCCATGTATTCGTGGGTATAGCGGGCGTAGCAATACTTGCAGCCAAACTCGCAGCCCCGATAGGGATTGATGGTCCAGTAGAAGGGCATTTCAGGTTCGAGCAACGGTTCAGCACCGATTTGACCTCGATGGAAAAATACCGGGTCCGGCGCTTGCGCAGCAGTGGCGTGCTCTCCGCCGCCAGACGTGCGATGCCCACCAGCCTGTCCGACTCTCTGACCATGAATGTATATTCGCTTTTATTCGCTTATTGTCAACCTTTTTTGGACCCTGCAGTCAATCGGCTTGCGCTCCGCTTGAAACCTATTAAGGGTCATCCGCAAAGGCCAAAAAAGAAATCCAGGAAGGGGCACGAAGGATCAGGAGGAGCCACCCGACAAGCAGGATTTCAGTCGATCGGCAGGGTGCGGAAGCGAGCGGCCGTGGCGGCGGCCACGGCCTGGAGGCTCGGCTCCTGCCACTCCCCCTCGAGGGGAGCAACCGCACGGCCTGTATAGATGTGCTTGGGGGGCAAGGTGGCGGGTGTTGGTTGGCCCCCCCACCGCATCAGCCATCGCCTGGCGGCTCGGCTTCTGCGACTCCCCCTCAAGGGGGGAGTGATACTGGAGCGCCTTATGCAAGCCTCAAGATCACTCCCCCCTTGAGGGGGAGTCGGCGAGAGGGCGGAGCCCGTAGTCGAGCCGGTGGGGGGGAAGGGAGCCAGCAAGATCGCCAGTCAGGTGATCCAGACCAAGGCGTGAGCCCGGGGTCTTGTGAACCCCGCGCGCCTGCAGCCGCGTAGGCGGCGACTTGGGTGCATCCTTCCAGACCGCGGTTCCCGTCCAAAAACTGCCCGGCACGCTCCTCCCCGAGCACCCTAAACACTTACCAGACATAGTGTTGGCCGCAGTCCGGTTTACAGCTTCGGCGATCTGGGCTAATCTGTCCCGGCTATGCCCTTCCTGAAAGCCCTGACCATTGCCGGCTCGGACTCGAGCGCCGGGGCCGGGATCCAGGCGGACCTGAAGACCTTTGCCGCCCTGGGCATTTACGGCACTTCGGCCGTTACCGCGGTGACGGCTCAAAACGCCCGCCGGATCGATGCCCTGACCTGCCTTCCGGTGAACCTGGTGGTCTCGCAAATCCTGTCGGTTCTTTCCGACATCGGAGCCCAGGCCGTCAAGACCGGGATGCTGGGAAGCCCCGAAATCATCCAGGGCGTGGCCTCGGCTCTCAGCCGCTATCCCCGCATCCCGCTGGTGGTGGATCCGGTCATGGCAGCCACCAGCGGCGCCGCCCTCCTTCAAGAGGGCTCGCTGGAGGTGCTGCGCCGCCGGCTTTTACCCCTGGCTCGAATCGTTACCCCCAACCTGCCGGAAGCCGCCGCGCTGGTCGGAAAGCCACTGCAGGACGAATCCGACTGCATCCGGGCCACCCGGGAAATCCATGCCATGGGGCCCCGGTGGGTCGTCCTGAAAGGCGGCCATCGTCCTGTCATCGAGTCCGGTCCGGCGGGCGCCAGGGAAGTGGTCGACCTGGTCTACGACGGCAGGGAGCTGCACAGGGTCAGCGGACCCTATCTCCAGGGAGGTCCCAAACAGGGCACCGGGTGCACCTTTTCGGCCGCCATTGCGGCCTTCCTGGCCAAGGGGCGCTCGGAGCTGGAGGCGGTGCGGGCGGCCCGGGAGTATTTGAGCCGGGCCTGGCGGCACTCCGGCGAGCCGGGCCAAACCGCCGGTCCGCTTCACCATTTCTACGAATTCTGGCCGAAATCCGACGATGGTTGATGAGTGACAAGTGGATAGTGGTTAGCCGGGCTCCCCGCCCCGCTGTGCGGATCATTCGAGGGTGAAACAACGGACATTTGCGGCCTTTCGGGAGCAGGGACCATGCTCCGTTAAACCGGTTTTCTCCACTAGGAAAACTCGATAGACAGGATAGCCAGGATTAATTGTCGCCGAGCCACGTCTCCCCATATCGGACTTTGACGAGCCTCGCAGACTGGGGGCTTCCCCCCCCACCGGCTCGACTGCGGGCTTCGCCCTTGTCTCGCCGACTCCCCCTCCAGGGGGGAGTGATTCTTGAGGCCTGCACAAGGCTCCTTGCCCGATTCCTTGGCATGATGTAAACGATGTTCCCGGTTTATGGTGTAAACGACGTTCCCGCTTTGTAACGCGGGTATCACTCCCCCCTTGAGGGGGAGTCGCAGAAGCCGAGCCATCAGGCGAAGGCTGATGCGGTGGGGGGGGCGGCTCGGCTTCGCCCCATGCGACGGGGCAGCCATGCAGGGTGAAACAGGGGTGTTTCAGGCAAGTGTCGCCCCCGCCCTACCGGGCGGATCATTCGAGAGTGAAACAATCGGAAATCGATAATTCTTTCGTGACCTTGGTATCCCGTCGCGGTTAACCTCAACGCCTTAGTGGCCCTTCGTCGTTCTTAGTGGCCCTTCGTGGATAACTCTTTTTTCTTTTGTTTCAGGCAAGCGTGTGGATTGAGGAAGACCGGCTCAACCTTGGACGGCTTACCCGGCCCTTCCCAGACCGACCAGCAGTTGATCCAGGACCGAACCGATGGTGCCGGCGGCATTCACCCTCAACAGGATTCCCCGCCTGCGGTAGTGACTGAGGATGGGTTCAACCTCCGCAAGATAACCCCGAAAACGCTCCTGGACGACCTGGGGGCGGTCGTCGTCCCGGCGCTTGGTTTCGACTCCCGCGGGAGGCCGATTGCTGTCCAGGTTGTAGGACCGGCCTTGAGCGTCGACTACCCGGCCGACAACGCGGGACTGGACGCCTTCCTCGGTGATCTCGAAGAGAACCACGGCCGACAGGCTCAGGATGGTGTCCAACGCCTCGGCTTGAACCAGGGTGCGGGGATAACCGTCCAGAATATGCCCTTGATCACCGTTTCTGCTGACGTATGCCCTGAACAGGTCCAGGACGATGGGCTCGGGAACCAGCTTGCCCTCTTTCAGATAGGCTGCAGTCTTCTTCCCCAATTCCGTTCCCTTGCCCACTTCCATTCTCAGCGTTTCTCCGAGAGAAAAATGCTTGAGACCGAAATGGGCGGCCAGGAGTTTGGCCTGGGTTCCCTTGCCGCATCCCGGCGGACCGAGAACAGCAATATTCATCGTCAGTGACCTCTATTGTTCAGCCGAGAGGCTGTAGGTATGCGGCCTGATGAAGGCCCGAAGGGCCGCTTGACCGAGGGCTCAGTCTACCCCAAGAGGCCTCCTTTCCGGAACCCTTTTCCCTGTCCCGCATCGCTCGCCGGGGGGTGTGCTCTCCGCCGGTTCACGCCCGCGGTTGCAGACTGCCGCCGCCTTGGCGGCTCGGGCGGTGGCGGACCCGCCGGGTTCCCCCGGGCTCACGCTCTCGGCGATATGCGGATGCCGCTTATGCGGCTTAAATGGAGCGAGGCGAGACGGGGGATGACTTGGCCGGCTGCCATTCCGGGAATGAACTTGACAGTCGAACCGGCGGCGGCCACAATCGCCTCGGTTTCAGTCGGGACCGCCCGGCCCGCAACGCTCACCGGGCGGCCGGGCGCCTGGCGGCGACTCCCCGGCATCGGGCCGCTTTACCCGCATTTCTCACCGGGGGGTTGCACTCTTCTCAAGAGTGCAACTTGGCGCAGGAATTTTTCCCTCAGCGCGTGCTCGCGAGCGAAGAGCGTAGCCGGAACTACGGTCGAGGGAGCATAGTGCGCGCTGAGGGGAAAAGGACCAGCCAGAGCGCGCCCAGCGCCGTCTGTACCCGCAAGCCCGTACCATGGGGCCAATCAAAGTACTGAAGACAAACTACTTTTCATCATGGTTCCAGCGACCCGGTGAGAAATGCGGGTTAAACCCGTGAAGATTCTCTCGATCACCGCCGGCGCAGCCGGCATGTACTGCGGCAGTTGCCTGAGAGACAATTCCCTGGCCGCGGAGCTGACCCAACTGGGCCACCAGGTCACCCTCCTGCCCGTTTATACCCCTACCCTGACCGACGAACCCAACGTGAGTCAGCGGCGGGTGTTTTTCGGGGGCCTGAGCGTCTATCTCCAGCAGCTCCACCCCCTGTTTCGCAAAACCCCCTGGCTGCTCGACAGGGTCTGGGACTCCCGAGCCGTGTTGAAGCTCTTCTCGGGGCTGGGAGTCAAGACCGACCCCCGCCAACTGGGAGCCCTGACCCTGTCCATGCTTCAGGGGGAGGGCGGCTTTCAGAAAAAAGAGCTGCTCAAGCTGATCTCCTGGTTGAAGCGGGAACCCCCGCCCGACATCATCAACCTGCCCAACTCCCTGCTGATCGGACTGGCTCAGCCACTGCGAACTGCGCTTCAACGACCCGTTTGCTGCACCCTCCAGGGGGAAGACCTGTTCCTCAACGGACTGCCGGAGCCCTACCGAAGCAAGGCTCTGGAATCGATGCGCCGGCAGGTCCGATGGGTGGACGGATTCGCTCCCGTGAGCCGGCACTGCGCCACCTATATGCAGGAGCTGTTGGGGATCGACCCGGACCGAATGCACCTGATCCCCCTGGGCGTGCGGGCCGGGGACTACGGAAACCGGCGATCGCCACGGTCAGAAACCTTCCGCGTCGGGTTTCTCTCTCGAATCGCTCCGGAAAAAGGCCTCCACCAGCTGTGCCGGGCCTACCGGAGTCTGAAGCAACGGAAGGATATCGGCCCGACCCGGCTCGAGGCAGCCGGCTACCTGGGACCGGAACACCGCGCCTATATGCAGCGGATCCGCAAGCAGATCCGCCAGTGGGGCCTGGACGGAGAATTCTGCTATCATGGCTCCCTGGATCGCTTGGCCAAAATACGCTTCCTGGAGAACCTGGATGTGCTCTCGGTGCCGGCCACCCACGACGAGCACAAGGGGATACCCATCCTGGAAGCCATGGCCAGCGGCATTCCCGTGGTGCAACCCCGACGCGGCGCCTTCACCGAGATGATCGAGAAGACTTCGGGGGGTTTGCTTACCGATCCGGACCGGGAAAACAGCCTGGTGGAAGGGTTGCATGCGATCTACCGGGATCCGGGCCTGGCCGATCGACTGGCCCGAAACGGCCGCCAGGGAGTGAAGGATCACTACAGCCTGTCCCGCATGGCCGGAGCGGCCGTAGAAGCTTATCGCGCCATCGTGCAGCGGTCTTCCTCGAACCCATCGGGGCCAATGGGTTGAACCCCTGCCGATAGTCTCTTCGTGCTACCGGTCTGCGGTCTCCCGGGCCCTGTTCACCTAACCTATGCTGGAAATCAGCCGGCTCTCCAAGGACTATCCGACACCGCGAGGCCCTCTCTATCTGCTCGAGGACATTTCGTTCTCCCTGGGCCGGGGCGACGCCGCCGCCATCATGGGACCCTCCGGCAGTGGCAAGAGCACGCTGCTCTACATTCTCGGCACGTTGGAGCCTCCGACAGCCGGCGATGTGGTGCTGGAGGGATGCCATCCCTTCCAATTGGCGGAGCGGGACCTGGCCAGGTTCAGAAACCGGCACATCGGCTTCATTTTCCAGGACCACTGCCTGCTGCCGCAGTGCTCCGTACTGGAAAACGTGCTGGCCCCGACCCTGATCCAGAAAGCGGCCGCAAACTACCGGCAGCGGGCGCTGCATCTGCTGGACCAGGTGGGACTCAAAGATCGGATGGACCACCGCCCCGCCGAGCTGTCGGGAGGCGAGAAACAGCGGGTGTCCATGGCTCGCGCCATGATTCGAAACCCTTCGCTGCTGCTGTGTGACGAGCCTACCGGAAAATCTGGACAGCCGCTCGGCGGCATCGGTGGCCGACCTGCTGGTGGAGCAGCACCGGCAGCACGGCTCCATTCTGGTGGTGGTCACTCACAGTTCGACTCTGGCTGACCGGTTCCCGGTGCAGTACCGGTTGATGGATCGGCAGCTGCAGAGAGTTTAGCCGCGCCCCCGCTCCATACGACGGGGCGGCTCATACGGAAGGCAAGATGTCATGGGATGATGGCTTGCTGGGAGCGCGGGCGGGACGCCCGCGCTCCCAGGCATTGGCAATCACTCCCCCCTTGAGGGGGAGTCGCTGAAGCCGAGCCGCCAGGCGAAGGCTGATGCGGTGGGGGGGCCAACCAATCCCCTGGCGCCCCGCCTCCAGCACGTCCATACAGGCGTATGGGTTCTGCTTATTCCAGTGTTTGTCGGGTATGGGAGCCCCTCATTTCCCCCCACCGGCTCGACTGCGGGCTGCGCCCTTGTCTTGCCGACTCCCCCTCAAGGGGGGAGTGATTGGCGGTACAAACCGGTAACGTCTTCGTGTCTATTCGCGTCCATTCGTGGTTCATCTTCATGAACGATCGGCCGTTTTTCCTCGAATGATCCGCACGGCAGGCCGGGGTCGGCCCCGGACGACCGCAACATGGCCTCCATCCCCCTGACTCGACGCAGTCTGGCCCATTACTGGCGCACCCATCTGGCGGTGGTGGCCGGCGTTGGCGTAGCCGTGGCTGTCCTGACCGGATCGCTGCTGGTCGGAGATTCCGTGCGCGGCAGCCTCAAGAGGCTGGCCCTGCAGAGACTGGGCGCCGCCCATTGGGTGCTCACCTCCACCGTTTATTTCAGGGAGGCCCTGGCCGGGGAGATGGCTGCCCATCCGGGTTTCTCCCGGTCCTTCGGCGCCGTATGCCCCATTCTGGTTCAGGAGGGCTGGCTGACCCAGCCCCGGACCGGGCGCCGCGCCGGCGGCGTTTCCGTCTATGGGGTGGATGAACGATTCTGGCGATTTCAGGGTGTCGAGCTCGATCGGGCCTTCGGTTCCGACGTTCGATCCGGCCGCCAGGTTCTGCTCAGCCCGGAGGCGGCCAGAGACCTGATGGCCGAGGAAGGCAGCTCGGTTCTCTTGCGGCTGGAGGAACCGTCCAACGTGCCGCGCGATTCCCTGCACGGCCGCCGGGACCGGGTGGGGCGAACCCTGCGCCTTTCGGTCAGCGGCATCCTCCAACCCTCGCGGATGGGCGAGTTTTCGCTGAGCCCCCGGCAGGGGCCGGTGCGCGCCGCCTTCGTCCCCTTGCGCCGCCTGCAACGGGATCTGGGGGTCCCGAACCGAATCAACACCCTGCTGGTCAGCCGAGCCGGCGCCAGCCGGCAGCAGACCTCCGATCCGGCACAGACGGGCGAGTTGGCTGGGATCCTGCGGGATGTCTATTCGTTGGAAGATACCGACCTGAAGCTGCGGGTCCTGGAGCGGCAGCAGTGCCTGTCGGTTGAAACCGAGGGCACGCTGATCGGCGAAGGACTGGCTGCTCGAGTTCAAGATGCAGCCGACACCCTGGGCCTGCGCACAAGCCTCCTGTTTACCTATCTGGCCAACAGCATCCGAAGCGGCGGCCGCGAGATCCCCTATTCGCTGGTGACCGCCCTCGACTTCCCCTCCTTTGGCCTGCCGCCGGCAAGCCCCGGCGGGGAGATGCCTCCGCTTGTCTTGAACCGGTGGGCCGCCCGGGACCTGGAGGCCCGCCCGGGAGACCTGCTGGAGCTGGACTACTACCTCTGGGCCGAGCAGGGCCGGCTGTTGACCCGTTCCGCCAAGTTTCGCCTCAGCAGCGTGGTCCCCATGGAGGGCCCCCTGGCCGACAGGGACCTGGCGCCCGCCTACCCCGGGATTACCGAATCCAGGACCCTGGTGGATTGGGACCCTCCCTTTCCCATGGAGTTGGGGCGCATTCGTCCCGGGGACGAAAGCTACTGGGAGGAATACCGCACCACTCCCAAGGCCTTCGTTCCCCTGCAGGTCGGGCAGGAGTTGTGGCGGTCCCGCCACGGCCAACTGTCTTCGATCCGGGTCTACCCCGCCGCCGCGGCTCCGGCCGTTGCCCCCGAGACACTCCGCGACCTTCGCTCCCGCCTGGAATCCGAGATCAAGCGCACCACCGACCCCGGCCACTTCGGCTTCTCGCTGCGGGCGGCCGGCGCTCAAGCCGAGCAGGCCTCCCGGGGGGTCACCGACTTCGGGCAGTATTTCGTCTACTTCAGCTTCTTCCTGGTGGTCTCTGCTCTCCTGCTCACCAGCCTTTTTTTCAAGCTGGGTCTGGAGCAGCGGGTCCAGGAGATTGGATTGCTTCGAGCCCTGGGCTTCGATCCTGCCGGAATCCGCCGCCTGTTCCTCAAGGAGGGAGTCCTGCTGGCGGGGCTGGGCACGCTGGTGGGTCTGGTGGGGGCCGTGGGCTACACCGCCCTCATCATGCTGGGACTGCGCACCTGGTGGGTGGAGGCCGTGGGCACCACCCTGCTGGGGCTTCACCTCTCGGCCTTTTCCCTGCTCGCCGGCGGTCTGGGGGGAATCCTGACCGCCCTGATCTGCATCGCCTGGAGCCTGAGGCGGATGGTGTCCTTCAGCCCGCGTAGTCTCCTGACCGGCTCCTGGCTCTACCAGGAGGGCGGGCCGCCAGCCGCCGCCCCCGCTGCCAGCCGGAAGAGCGGAAAACGCGGCGGTGGGGCGCCGGCAAGAAGCCGGCCCTGGAGCCGACGGTCCAGGCCGGGCCGGACTCGAACCGCCCTCCTGCTGGGGGCGACGGCCCTGGGGCTCCTGCTGGCCAGCCTGGCCGGCGGACTCAGCCAGGAACTGGGCTTCTTTGCCTCCGGCACCCTCTGCCTGCTGGCCCTGCTTGCCTGGCAGTCGGGATGGCTGAGACGGACCCGGCGTCCGATCCTGCAGCCTCAGGGCGGCTGGGCGGTTTCCCGGCTTGGGTTCCGCAATGCCACCGTCCGTCCGGGCCGAAGCCTGCTGTGCATCGCCCTGATCGCCTCGGCCACCTTCATCATCGTCACGGTTGAAGCCTTTCGTCGAGCCGACCGCGCCAACCCCTACGACCGCCAGTCGGGGACAGGGGGATTTCCCCTGGTGGCGGAATCCCTGCTTCCCATTCACGTCGACCCCAACTCCCCTTCCGGCCGGGAGTCCCTGAACCTGTCTCCGGCCGGCAATCCCGCCCTGGCCAACCTGGGCGTCAGCGCCTTCCGGCTGCGACCCGGCGACGATGTCAGTTGTCTCAATCTGTATCGACCGGCCAGCCCCAGAATCCTGGGGGCTCCCGATTCCTTTCTCTCCCAATCCCGATTCCGGTTCGGGGCCACCCTGTCCGGTTCCCTTCAGCCCCAAAACCCCTGGCAGCTCCTGCAGCAGGAGTTGCCCGGCGGAGTCATCCCCGTCATCGCCGATGCCAACTCGATGCAGTACGTCCTGCACCTGCAACTGGGGGAAGAACTGGTGCTCAATCCTCAGGGAGAAGCGCCCGTGCGCCTTCGCCTGGTGGGAGCCCTGCGGGACAGCCTGTTCCAGTCCGAGCTGATCATGTCGGAAAAGCACTTCCTGCGAGCCTTTCCGCGAATCGAGGGCTTCCGCTTCTTTCTGATGGAAACGCCCCCCGGGGCCGCTGAAGAGGTGACGGCAGCGCTGGAAGACCGTCTCTCCGACTATGGGTTCGACGTGGTGCCCACGGCCGTGAGGCTGGCCGCCTTTCACCGGGTGGAAAACACCTATCTCTCCACCTTCCAGGCCCTGGGCGGCATGGGACTCCTGCTGGGCACCTTCGGCCTGGGCGTGGTGCTGTTGAGAAACGTCCTGGAGCGCCGCAAGGAAATAGCGCTGATGACGGCCGTGGGTTACCACTCCGGCCACCTGGCCCGGCTGGTGATCTCCGAGAATTTTCTTCTGCTCGGTTGGGGTCTGCTGATTGGAGTCATCTCGGCGGTGGTTGCCATCGTCCCGGCCTATCGATCGACCGGAGGACACCTCAACCTGTCGGCCCTGGGGTTGCTGCTGCTGGCGGTCCTGGCCACCGGCCTGCTCTCCTCACTGGCCGCCGTCTGGGCGGTAACCCGCTCTCCACTGGTGCCGGCCCTGCGGGCGGACTGATCCCGTCGGCGCCGGGACTACGGAGCGCTGCCGCCGCTTATTTGAAACAAACGAAAAAAGACAAAGAAAGAGTTATCCACGAAGGGACACGAAGAACGACGAAGGGCCACTAAGGCGTTGAGGTTAACCGCGACGGGATTCCATGGTTGGGAAGGGATGATCGATTTCTGATTGTTTCACTCTCGTATGATCCGCACACCAGGGCGGGGGCGGGACTTTCCTGAAACAAACGAAAAAAGACAAAGAAAGAGTTATCCACGAAGGGACACGAAGGCCACCAAGGGATTGTCAAATCGGGATTTAAGGCGACCATCCAGCCAGTTCGTTTGCGCCGACTCTTCCTTGAAGGGCAACCGTGACGAAAGCGGCCCACCCGGGAGCGCGGGCGTCCCGCCCGCATCCTCTGCCTTGGGTTGTCGCTCAGTTTCCCTTCGATGGAGCACCCGTCCACCGTGCCGGCGGGAACCGCATGGGCACGGCCCAAGCAGAGCCCGGGCGTCTTTGCCGGTCGATCCGGGTAGAGGAGATGGGCGAGGCTCTGCCAGTGTTGTGCGGGCGGGACGCCCGCGCTCCCGGGTGGGCTTCCTCCCATGACGCCGGGATTTCAAGGTCACGATATCGCAGATGCATTCGGGCGCGGTTGGTCATTGAAGGTGGTCCATCCCTATTCGTGTTCATTCGTGCTCATTCGTGTCCATTGGTGGTTCGTCTTCAAAAATGATCGGCTGTTTCTTCCTCGAATGATTCGCCCCGTCGTCGGGGGCGGGGGCCCGGCTTGTCTGAAACAACGCCTTGTGCCGGGTGGCGGGAAACCGGTTCAAAGTCAAAACATGGGTTGTTGGTTTATTTACATGGATGCACAGGATGCACAGGATTATTGGGCGAGAGTTTCCACCGTCATGAGTTCAACCATCGCCTCTGTTCCAACACGGATCTCCCAAAAACCCGCTCCCAGGCTCTTGGATCACTACCGACACCCACCCGATCATCGAGCGGGTCTGCTTCCTGTGGCGCAACGTCTCGTGCCGTTTATCCTGTCTATCCTGTGCATCCATGTTCAATAAGTAGAAAACCGGTTTTGCACGACATGGCCCTTGTTCCCGACAGGCCATGAAGATGCGTTGTTTCACGCTCGAATGATTCGCCCGGCAGGGCGGGGGCCGGACTTGCCTGTGATACCATGCGGGCGGCAAACGGTGCGGCCGCGGCAGTCGGACCAAACAAGCAACGGAAAGGAACAAAGCATGACCAATCAGTCGTTGTTCGACCTCTCGGGGAGGGTGGCCCTGGTGACCGGGGGCAGCAAGGGCCTGGGGAAGGCCATGGCGCGAGGATTCGCCCAAGCCGGCGCCGATGTGGTCATCAGCAGCCGTCACCAGGACGAGCTTGACAGAGCCCTGGTCGAGATCCTGGAGGGAACCGGCAGCAAGGGCCTGGCCCTGGTGGCGGACCTGGCCCGACGGGAGGAGGCCGAGAGCCTGGCCCGGCGCACGCTGGAAAAAATGGGCCGGGTGGATGTCCTGGTCAACAACGCCGGGTCCAACATTCCCGCGGTCATCGACGAGATCCGGGACGCGGATTGGGACCGGATCGTGGAATTGAATCTCAGCTCCTGCATGGTGTTGACCCGTGCCCTGGTTCCTCAGATGAAGGAACGCCGCTGGGGCCGGGTCATTCACATTTCCTCCATCATGGGCCTGGGAGGCAAGTCCAGCCGCAACGTCTACAATGCCACCAAGCACGGACTGATCGGGCTGTCCAAGGCCAATGCGCTGGACCTGGGGTCCTCCAACATTACCGTCAACTGCATCGCACCGGGTCCCTTCTGGACGGATTTACCGGCGTCGCTGCTGAACCAGGACCAGAAGGCCGTGTTTGCCCGGCGAACAGCGCTGGGGCGCTGGGGAGAAGCCGAGGAGCTCATCGGCCCGGCCCTGTTGCTGGCCACCGAGGCCGGCAGCTATATCACCGGGGAAACCCTGGTGGTCGACGGCGGCGTGATGGTCAATACGCTGTGACCCAACTGAATGACGGATGACCCTTTGGAGCCGGCAGACTGGATGACGTGACCAAAGCCGCGGCTGGCTCCTGGTTTCATCCTTCGCCAAGAATGATCGGCTCCATCTCAGGGTGAACCAATCATGACTGATTTGTCTCGACGCTCGGTCCTGCGCAGGCTGGCCCAGGGAGCCGCACTCCTGTCGGCCGGCCTTCCCTCCCTTTCCGCCCTGGCCACCAGGCTAGGCGCCGCTTCCAACGATGAAGCCTATTGGGAGATGGTGCGACAACAGTTCCCCTTTCGTGAAGCCAAGATCCCCATGAATGCAGCCAACCTTTGCCCGGCCCCACGGGTGGTTGCGGAAGCGGTGGTGGATCTCACCCAGGACATTGACGTCGACTGCTCCTTCAACAATCGGGAGAAATTCAGAACCATGCTGGAACTCTCCCGCAAGCAGGTAGCCGATCAACTGGGAGTAGACGGCAACGAGGTGGCCCTGGTTCGCAACACCAGCGAGGCAAACAACATCATCAACAATGGCCTTCCGCTCAAGGCGGGAGATGAGGTCCTCCTGTGGGACCAGAACCATCCCACCAACAATGTCGCCTGGCAGGTGCGCGCCGCCCGCTTCAATTCAAGCGTCAAGCGAGTCGAGACCCCCAAAGAGCCCACCCGGATGGATCAACTGATTGCACCCTTTGCGGAAGCTCTGGGAGCCCAAACCAGAGTTTTGGCCTTGACTCATGTTTCCAACGTCAGCGGTGTCCGGCTTCCCATCCGTGAACTCTGTGAACTGGCCCATCGACGTAATATCCATGTTCATGTCGACGGTGCGCAGACCTGGGGCGCCTTCAACCTCAACCTGCGGGAGCTTCAGTGTGACTCCTATGCAGCCAGCAGCCACAAATGGTTTTGCGGCCCCAAAGAAGTCGGGCTGCTCTACGTCAAGCGAAACCGCATTGCGGAGATCTGGCCCAACCTGGTCTCTCCCGGCTGGGGGAGCGATGTCGATCCGGACGTGAAGGGAGCCAGGAAGTTCGAGTCCTTCGGCCAGAGGGACGACGCTCGCCTGGCCGCGATTGCCACGACCGTCGATTTTCACCGCCTGATCGGCTTCGGTCGAGTCGAGGCCCGGATCTTCGAGCTTGCCGGAGTGCTGAAGGAGGGGATGAAGGCCGAGGGCCTCCGATTGGTAACCCCTGAAGACTCACGACTTAGTGGAGGTGTCTGTATCATCCAGGTGCCGCCGCAAAAGCGCCGGGAGGTATTCAACCGTCTCTACACTCAGTACGGCATTGCCGGAGCCCCCGTCCAGGGCTTGCGCTTGTGCCCCCACATCTACAACACCATGACCCACATCGACCGGGCGATTGGCGCCGTTCGGGACATGCGCTCGATCATCGGTTAATTCACAGCCGGCAGGCCCTTTTCACAGACCGGAATAGACCCGCATTTCTCACCGGGGGGGGTGGGCATCGGCTGGGAACGTGTTTGTCATTAGCATCTTGCAGCGCTTTTGGGGGGAGCCTTCAGGATGCAGACTGCGCTGGGCGCGCCCGGGCTTGTTTGCGATCGAACACCAGGGATGATTGCTGCCGCCGCCTACGCGGCTCAACTCTAACGCCGAGCTTTCCATGGGCTCACGCCCACGGCTAAGTGCGGACGCCGCATTCGCGGCTTAC